ACATGGTCAAATACCTACATTCATCTTGAGACTGGGAGATTGCTCACCAGGACGAATGTGACCATTTGGCCGCTAAGACCAGGAGGTTTAACTATGCAGATAATATCATCAAACTTGCCCCTCAAGTTATGGCAGGTTTGGTGCCCACCACTTACCACAGTAAATCTGGTACCCGATGTAGAACTGGGTGCTAATCGAGGTCTCAGGAATCCATCCTCCTGCGTGTTGTGGACAGACACTCACATGAAGGTAATGAAGATCGAGAATACGTTCTGGGGTGGCATCTTGTGTGATCTTTCGTTTAAACATATATGAAACGATTCCATGTCAAAGGTTGACGCTTGTGAGCGACAAATGCAGGGATCAGCGAAGAGGGTGCTGAGCCTATTTTACCCAAGATCGGATGGTAGCATGCTGCACGACATAGATCGCTGGAAGGATGTCACCGTGAGTCAGTCGTAACAATTGCGACACAGAAGAATAAGAACTAATACCTGGATTCGACTCTTGCTTCGTCTGCCACCATTCGAGATGGCAGGTCGTTCCAATGGGTATGTCAAGTGGACCTCCCAACTCGAGCGTTAACACTTCCTCGAGCGCAGACGAGAATTTTCGGCGCCAATGTGTCTCCTCTCCCGGAACAGCGAGGATACTTCCGAGTCTCCCAAGTCGTCTAGGAGATGACTTGGAAGATAACACGTGTAGATCGAGCGTAGCAGGAGCGTCAAGCCTGTAAGCGGAGATAGCCTCGGTGTGTCCTGCAGAGGCAGAAGCTGGAGGGAGGTTTATGTGCACCTCACAAGTCTCCGTCATACCATAGTCAATCGCACGAAATTGGATTATGGTTGAAATCTCAAGTTCCGATTAGCCTCTATGCATTTGAACTGAGAAAAAAAGCACACACCTCGTTCACGACGACAACTTCCTTGTCATCAGGATATACGGTGCCGGAAAGAGACATGTAATGTTTCAAATCCGGATCGGAGACTTTGTGGGGCTGAGTTGCTTCTATTTCAGCTGTCGCGATTGGAAAATTGGAGGAATTCCGGAGAGTCGGAGGCGAAGGGCGAGAGATGCTGTCGAATCCAATATACTGCGAGGGGCGGCGAAGCTTGTAAATGTATTTCCTGTCGGTTCCCGTGTCGTGGAATACAGGTCCTCTTGCGTTTAGAAAGACAGTGAAGACGTTGAATACAGTACACACAAGGCCGAATCAGAGAGCGCTACTCTGGTATAGCGTAGCTGGCTTCACTTTCAACTTGGTAGACAGCTTTGGAGAGAAGGCAGCCTCATCGTCGCCCACCGCCGAGAGGGGCTGATACTGTGCTCTCTGCGTGGCAGGCATGGAAGAAATTGTATTGGATTAGGCCAAGGTCACAGCACTAGTGCACATCGAAGGACCAGCATCACAATGAGTTCTTTCAGGTTCTTTCAATCCATAAGGCGGAGTCGGTGGACGGACCACGGAAGGAGTTGGTGGCTGCCGCCGGCCGGATTACGCCGGACCGCAGTGCCTGCACCTTTCTCCTTCTAGGCTCCAAGTCTCTCACGTCCAATGCGAAGTAGGAATTTGGTTGACATAGCCGAAAACTTTGCTGGTATTCGAGTCGCTCTGCATCCTGGTACTCGTCCCTACGTTCAGGTCATAGGTCCCAGCATGGAACATTCCCAACTTCACACAGGCATGGCTTTACTGTTTCTCCTCGTTTCTAGTCTCGCTCTAGTACTCCATGCGGTTGGACTATTAGGAAAACGTTTGTCAATGACAGCATCTAAACTATCATTGTCGTGCTTAATACTCCAGATCTACAAGGAGTAGACCTACGAGTCTACTCAACTTTAATGTGGCGCACTCTGACGCCATTGCTATGATCCCTTTACGACTTTGAATCAGACCAAGGCAGTTTAGAATACGCCCGATTACTCCCCTCAGGCGGTCATACCGTCCATGTCACCGCCCCCACACCGGGCGCACGCGGCCGTACACCGCTACAGTCTTCCACCAGGCGAAATGCTTGGGGATCCTGCGCAACGAGCACAACGATCCGCACAGTGAGCCCCTCGCGCACCATTGCCTCACCTATCTGGGCCAGACCATCTTGTGCCAACCCAACCTGAGGCTGGAATCTGTCCGAAATCCATTGGGTAGCGCGAGCTGTGGGTATGATGCAGTATGTCCACACGATTGGACACGCGTGTACGCCGCGGAGGAGAACTACGCGAATTACTCCGCGCAAATCACACCCATCGGTACGGTTTTTATTTGAAGACGCACTCTTCGCTGACATTTCTCCAAGTCGTAAGTTATGAATGAATACCTGGGCATTGACAGTGGGATATGCTCAGAATTCTTACGCCTCGAACCGAAATATACATCGGATTCAAACAATAGGGTGGCCCAAGCTGGCCGATGGACGTTGCATTATATTCAGGAGACGACAATATCATTGGAGAGTCTAAATATTCAAAGGGTGGATGCTTGCTAGCCAAATACTACTCCAAAGGCTCCTTCAAAGTCTGCAATGATGTCACTGATGGCTTCGAGGCCAGTTGAAATCTGTTCGACACGAATCAGAGCTTGAGAGATTGGTAGTCAGAAAGCCGGACATACCCTGATCAGATCAGGGGTGACACCCGATGCCAGCTGCTCTTCTTCGTTCAACTGGCTGTGCGTAGTACTGGCTGGATGAATGACGAGTGTCTTCGCATCGCCTGGGAATTGACAGGGAAATATCAAAAACTCCGTCATGGAAAGCGCAATACTCCACAACGACGCACCGACATTGGGCAGGTTGCTGACTAGCTTCATGTTATCAACGAACCTGCTAGCAGTTGCTGCATCCCCTCTGATACCGAAGCTCAGCATTCCGCCGAAGAAGCCTGAGCGCATCAGTTTCTTCGCTGTTTCGTGAGATTTGTGCGAGGGGAGCCCTGGGTAAGAAACCCATGCAACATGCGGATGCTTCTCAAGCCAGCTAAAAGAGCCACCGTAAGCCAACGACAAGCAGTGGACAGAGGTAGAAGAAACTTGCGCAGCCAGAGCAATTCCATTGGTGCTGTGCCTCTCACCCCGCAGACTAAGAGTCTCCAAGCCCTGAAGCAGAAGAAACGCGCCAAAGGGGTGCATGCACGGCCCGACGTCCCGAATCATCTGAGCGCGGACTTTCACTGCATAAGCGATGGGTCCAAACTTTTCGGCGAACACAATTCCGTGGTATCCCTCAGCGGGCTCAGTGAAACCCGGGAAACGTCCAGACCCACGCCAGTCGAATCGACCTGGGACAGTCCACGTCAGCGAGAAAAAAACTACAATGTGGGTCCCAGGAATATCCATAACGCACCGGAGTCGACGATGACTCCCCCAATGGTCGTACCATGGCCACCGATCCACTTTGTGGCGCTATGGACTGTGACTCTGTGAGAAGGAGGCCCAGAAATGACGGGGAACATTATATACCTATTATGTCCGCTCCATAGTCGAACGGACGCACGAGGTATCCTAGATCGATGAATTCAAGACGAGATAGATGCATAAACCAATGAAATCATACCGCCCATCCCAAAAGTGTTATCGACAATCAAAGGAATTTTGTGGTCGTGAGCAACCTTGATTAAAGAGTCAGAGATCAATCTACACAGCGAACCGTCAATGAAGTTCCACCTTCGCAATAGCCGGGATGTCCAAGACGAGGTAATCGGGGTTACCAACGGCTTCAATGAAGATTGCTTTGGTCTTATCATCGATAGCGGCGGTAAACAAGGCAGGGTTAGAGCCTGTAACAAAATTGACGCCAATACCAAAGTTCTTGAAGGTAACTAAACTGAAGGTTCAACATGCCGCGTCAGATGCAGAATTTAATGGACACTTTCACCTTTAAACTGCTGGTAGGACTGCTCCCGGTATAGGTTCGGTTAGTTGGCGATAGTTTCTGAAGAACACGCACCCCGCCGTACAAATGTGTCCTATGAATTTCGTTCAGCGAGGGTCGTATCATCAGACTGGATGAATCTTCTTACGATGCGACTATATTATCACCAACACCTGCGAGAGCTCCGATGGCCGCGAACTGAGCAGCCTGGCCTGAGGATGTCGCGACTGCCGCCACACCACCCTCGAGTTGTGCGATCCGCTTCTCAAAAACATCCTGCGATCTCAAAGTTGGAGGATAGAACAGAGGAAATGTTACACATGCTCACTATGGTTGGGTTGGCTATCCTCGAGTAGCTGAAAGAAGGATCGCTGAGAGACTTGCGTAAGCCGTCATCGAATATGCAAGGTGGGGCGGCGGTACTTCAGCTTAAATATCTCTACGGCGTGCTATGTTTCCCGATGAGCATAACTAGGAGGTTTCAGCCTGCCATCGCGATCGACCTACCGCAGAACTATTGAAGCAAAAGCTGGTTGTCGCGTAGATAGGAACAGCGCGTGCATTGGTCGCAGGATCCGGCTGCTGTCCACCGTGTAACTGAATAGTCTCGAATTCTGGCGCTCTGCATCGTGTTATCGTCTAAAATCGTCCACGAAACGCGACCTTCAATGACTGACTTGTAGAACTGTGAGTCCGTCATAGTAGATGGTCAAGATGACAGAAAAGACGGCAAAAGTAAGTGCGAAGATGCACAGCTGCCTCGGGTTTTGAAGCTGGCCCAACTCTCCCCCACACTGACATTCCAAAAAGGGAAGGATGCTGATTCCCACCGTTCATTCAAACAATCAACAAACATTCACCTTGACATTGACCACCACCCACCTCGACCGACCGCCCCACCTCCCATCAGACTCTTCGCAGTCCTACGACGACAGCCGCAACAGCATCCTCGAACGTAACAGGACCACAAGCGCGACTACGCACCGCAACTGCGCACTAGGGTGGACCACAAAGAAATCTTTGTTAGCATTCCCTTTTGGGATGTTAGTGTGGGGGAGATCAAGGGAACTTTGCTCGTGAATGTGGTTGGTACCTGAGCACTGGCTGACACCTTCCGTTGCCATTAAAAATTGGTTCAACCCAGGATCGAACTGGGGACCTTCTGTGTATTACATCCTTGTGAGACAGAAATCATAACCACTAGACCATTGAACCGACATCGATAGATGCCGCCTGTCAAACATTTGTAAGATGCTGTAGGCCAGTCGCATTTTGACCGACTCGTACAGTTCCTCAGCAATTACTTAGCAGACAACAGGAATGTAGCGATAATGGCGACATTGTATCCTGTAGACTTGTCCTCCTTGTGTATAGCACTACATTCAATCAATATTAAAAAATACAAGAAAGCTGATGATAAAGGAGTCACAGAGGCGAGGTCTCCCGTTCAAGCCATTTCAATGCCCCTTCGTCGTTCTTGAGAAGCGGCGACACCTTGGCCCAGGTCTCTGCATGATAGGAGTTCAACCAATTTCTTTCCTCCGAGCTCAACAACTCCGTGTTCACAAGAGTCTTCTGGATCGGGCACCTGCACAGCGAGAGGAGAGGAAAAGTTCAACAACAACAGAAAACGGGGATCGCAAGGAATATAATACTAACAGAGTGACATGTTCGAATCCGAGGTAGCCCTTGTCCCCGAAGTTGTTGAGGGTTTTGGCTTCCCGGACGAGGACAATGCTCTCGATGCGGATGCCGAATTTACCGTCAGCGTAGTACCCGGGTTCGTTGGAAACAGTCATGCCGGCCTTGAGCGGGGTGTTGTTATAGGCTATCCGCACACCAATTCCGTGGGGGCCTTCGTGCACGTTGAGGTAGTGACCAACACCGTGACCAGTACCGTGTCTATTGTGCATCGTGAACAACCCGTCTTCCTTTGAAAAGCATTTGAAATTTACCGGTAGTCTGCATAGGAAAAGAACCATGATGAAATGTATCAGAATGCATGCGAGAGGAAGCAACATACCAAGCCCGTCCTGCCAAAGCGCCCTCCTAGCCCAAGAGTCACTACAATAACGGTCAGCTTTGACTCATGATTGCCTCATCGAAGAAAGCCTACATGAGGTATCCTTGAGCGCAGCGTCAGCTTCATCATCATCATGGCAAGTTGAGGAGCAACCGTACCAGTAGTACCAGTAGGAAAGATAGCGGTGTCGATTGCGATGTGCCCTTGTAACACGCGAGTGAATGCGCGTTTTTCCTCGTCAGTCGGAATGCCAAAATGCTTGACGAGACAAATTAAGGGTAGTCGAAAGAGAAAGAGAAGTGTCGTACCCAGGTCCTCGTCACATCGGTGGTGCCGTCCAGGAATTGGGCTATGGAAAAAATTGTCAGCAAAACTTCCGAAAGTGGCGTCCAAGGTGTGTACCTCCAGAGTCGCAGAGGTAAATCTAGGGACAGAAATGACGTCGTGCTCCATAAAAACGCTATAGAACGTACCTGGTCTTTCTTGATAATCGCGCAATCGTTGGGATCAGGGGAGTAATGGATAATAGCTGGAGAAAGCGCAAATAAGGGATATAAAAATTAACAATCAAAGGACTAAACGCACCACCGTTGGGACCAGTAGACGAAATAGTGTCGAACGAAAGCCCACTGAACAGGGCTAAACTCCTAATGATCATTGTTGGCAACAAGTCCGAGAGCGATGAACAACGAGTACTACGCACGATCTGAACTTTTCCAGCTGATCAGCGCCCTGGCTCTCATTGAGCTCGACGCCATTGTTAAGCTGCTGCTCAAGCCACGAGAAGTACTGTGCAAGGGCAGCGCCGTCGCGAATGTGGGACTGACGGAAGCCTTCGAGCTCCGTTGCATTCTTAATTGCTTTCAAGTCGGCGACAGGGGAGGACCCAATGGTATATTTGTCCTGGCCCAAAGCGTGCGCTATCGCAAGACTGGCTTTGTCGCCGATGAGAACCTTCTAAGAATGTGTAATTCAGCAGCGAATAAATCAGATAAATATATAGTTACTGACCCTTTCCTCGTCAAGCGACAGGTTATTTGGCAGCTGCTTGAGGTATTTGAAAAAAGCGTCATAAGGCTGAATGTTGACGTTATCCCCAAGGTATTTCAATGCGTCCTTGGTAAGTTGGGCCTTTTCGACGAACAGTTCTACCGAGTGGATCGTTACTACGGCATATGCAAAGAATACTGGATGCGACCCAGAGTTTCAATAAGGTTTGGTGTGCACATTTAGACCCGCTTACCTGGATTGTAATCAATATCCGAGCCACGGAGGTTGAATAGCCAGGCGACTTCGTCAAGCATGTTCACCACGAATGCCTGGTACTTCTTCTTCGCGAGTTCTTCCCGGAGGGCCTTAATCTTGTCGCCGGGGGATTGGCCTGGGCAAAGTTCAAACATGAAGAAAGTCAGGTGGAAATGACTGGGTACAAACCTGAATATTTCTCATCAAGGTGAATGATGGGTTTATGGGGGCGAGCGGGTCGGTCGCTCCACACGGCATCGACGAGGTTCTCTTGGATAGGTACGAGCGTGGATCCCTTCGACTCCAAAGCCTTGCTGATGGTTTTGGCATCCGTGGCAGAGATGAGCGTCGCATCGATCCCAATTCGAGTAGAAGATTCCAAATTCTGGAGGCCGGATTCATCACCTAAAAACTTAACATGGTAGCGGGAACGTACCTTGGAGAGGAAGTCCTGCCATGTCGGCACATCTTTGTATTCTGATTTAGAAAAGTTGTCATGGAGAAAGTTCAGAGGCGATTTTACCAGGTAGACCTTGTTTCATTAAAGTCCAATTTCTTCAATCTTCGCATTAGGGAAACTCGGACGCCGTTAAAGATCAGTACTGACTTGTCGAGTTGCTTCGCTGCCTGGAGAAAGTATCGGCCATCCGTGAAAAGAAAGGCTTCCTTGGTAGTGACCACGGCGCATCCTAGAAATCGCTAGGGTTAGAAGAAAAAGGCGTGCGAGGAGTTTGTTACACACCAGCGGAACCATTGAACCCAGATATGAAAGTACGCCGCTCGTCGGAATGTGCGAGATATTCACTTGAGTCTACCGCCACATTGCCGTTGAATCGCCTAGTCCTGATCCTTATCGTCCTTGAACTCACGTTGATCTTCACTCGGAACAACGAACGCCTGAACATCATGCTCCTTCCGGGCCATGAGCTCTCTAAGATCAGTGAGGCGCTTTGACGTGTCAACTGTGTGGTTGCCAGCTGCTCCCATAGTTGTTATTGGTGCTTGGCGTTTAGTGTCTGGGTTGTAGGGGAAGAGGAAGCGTGTGGAACGTCGCAAAGCCGTTTGAGCGATTGCAAGCATATGATCTGTTGTGGAACCACATGACGGAGAAAGGCCTCGGTAAACAACGGACCAGCCGGCCATCAATTGACGCGACTGGCCAGCAACGTACTCTAAACGTTCGTTGGAACTTGGAGTGCGATGATGAGTCGACTGACATGCGCATAGGGAACATCCAGGTGGTGCAGGTAGTTGTCGAGCGTTCTACCAAGTATTAATCATGAGATGGTGGTTCACTGGTTCTTTTCAAAAGTTCTTCAGTCGGCGGTTGTTTAGTCTACTCGCCTCCAGATAACAAGACCAGTCAAGCAGCGAAGGGCGAAGCTTAAGCCAAACTCCAGCAATTACCCAAAAGTCATCTTTTAACAAGTCCATATCGAGCGGGGTATGTATGTATAGGATAGCTCTAAGTACAAACGGGCGTCACTCACGGCAATGCTATTCGTACATCAGTCGCCGATGTCGCGCGACTCGGAATGGGCGAGTGGCTATGGCTGCGAGACCCGCTCTGCCTCCCACTCGTCGCATGCCCATTGAGTGGCGGCGGCCCTCCTCCTTTCTTCAACCGCGTCCGTTCGTCTACATCAATGTCGTCGTCGGACTCCTCCTCCCGCAATCGTTGCAACCCCACCGCATCCGAGTCGTGTTCGTCGAACAAGAGCGTGGTGCTCTGATTGCGGTACAGTGAATTTTGCCGACCGTGCCTCCGCGGGGAGGGCGCGGGCCCAATGCGGGTGTCACCGTTCCAGCCGTCGAGGGACATACGACCCTGGAGACTCAGTCGGGGATTCATTAGACCGCCCTCAAGAGTCGAGTGCTCGCCGAGGGCGGGCTCTCTCTGCCGCGAAAGGTTGAGCAGGTGGACACCCATGAAAGTTACAGCGAAACCGGTGAGCAGAGAGACAGTATTGGTGGCGTCGGTCGTGTTGAAACCCTGGAAAAGGATAAGCGAGGCGGTGGCAGTACATGTCGAGAAGCCGACGAAGTACATGGGGTTCACGCTAAAGTGCTAGAAGGTTAGGAATGCAGTAGGTAGGAATCATGTACGCACACGTTGGTAGAGAAGATGTCAAGTGCTCTATTGAAATAATTCATTTGGACCAGGATACATAGCGCCACGATTATGCCCAGCACATATGTGTCTGGATGCGAGAATTGGTTTTTGCCACCAAAGGTAAGCTTGACCGCGACACCGAAGCCCTTGATGGCCATGACCGATATAGAGCCGACGAGGGAGCAGATGGAGATGTAGATCAGGGGGTTCGAACGTCCGTATTTCGGGGCGACGGCGTACACCATAATCAAAGTGAAAACGAGGACCGTGAAGCAATACATTAGGAAACCTGTGTAGAGTTTAGAGTGACAATCACTACACCTGAAAATTTTGCAGCACGCACCTGGTCGTAATGCGTAACTCAAATACTCCTCGACAGTTTGCACATCCTTATCCTCTGGGGCGTGAAGAACGATGATGAGTGAACCGATTAAGCATAGCGTGCATCCCAGACGACCTAGATGACCAAGTTCTTCGTTGAGAATAAATGACGCGAGAACGGCGCTGTTTTCCAACGGTCAGCTGGTTTGAGGACGGCACGACAGGTCGACTTACCCAATCAGAACACTCAAGGCTCCCAACGGCGTTACCAGTATTGGAGGGGCGAAGGCATAGGCGGCAAAGTTTGCGACTGCGGCGAGCGGTTAGAAGATCCGTTTCGAGTATTCCGGAGTGGAAAATAATCACTTTCTCCAACAACCACTGCGGATGCAACGTCAAAGGTGGTTTCTCAGAGAACAGAGGAGAATGGACACACTTGTTGTTAACCCGAGCCACCATATCGGATTTTTCAGATACGCCAAGTTCTCCGACGCAGATTGGACTCCGTATGCT